CTTCTTAATGCGAGGGTGAGTTACTGCCATTTCTCTAAGCCTCTCTGTCCCCTCACCATCGCTATTATGAAAACCTTCATTCTCCAGCAGGTAAAGTTCTGTCACTTTTATCTCTCTCCTTGCTCCCTGTTCTCCGTCCTCTTTGACTCCTGCCGCTCCTTCCTCTCTGCTCACTTTCTTTTCCTCCTATTCCCCACCACCTGCATTGGAGGTGGAGGTCAGTTTTTCTCTAGAGGGTTAAAAAACATTGCTGCAGGATCAGATGGAAAGACTGTGGTTTTCAGGAGATCGGAGCTCCTGTAGCTTTGGTCTTCTTTCTGGTCTACTGGTTTCTTAATGGATAGTTGGTGTTATCCCTTAACAGAGTCTTCATCATTTGATTTCTCCTCTCGCATATCCATAAGTCACTAACATAGTGGGTGTTTAGTATTTTTTTCCTCTTTGCAAGCACATGGCATTTGTGTGTTTTGCAATCGTTGCAAGTTTGTTTGCATGTCTTAGAGCTGTTAAATATTTGTATTAAACAGATATCATGAATTGGTAATAAATTTTCAGTGGAATACGTCATTCATTGTTGCATGACCCAGTCTCACCTCTGCATGCCTCTTCTTGGCCTTTGGGTTAAGGGGACAGCAATTCATTGACTGTTGCTCTTTGTTTCATTGACCAGTCGAATCCCTTTGCTGCTCTTTAGTGACATAGCTGGCCATGTGCTACAGCTTAAATTAACTGACGTGACATGGTGGAGTTTGGGTGGGGTTTCCTACTTCTGCCTGGGGGGGCTTATGGTCACTGTGTTCATGTCCTGGTTCTTTAAACTATTTTCCAGTTCCCTATAATGTAATCCACATGCAAATAGGATCAGCGTTGCTACCCGTCCATTTTACATGTGTTTCTGACCGCAGTGATGTAGGCTGTGTCTTTTCCTTGAGATCCTAGCTTTGTCTCCTGACTGGTAGATTCCTGCTTTTATGCTTGTTTTATGTGTCCTATTAAATGTACAGACTCTCCATTCCAGCTCATGACTTTACAATTTATATATAATTTTTTTTTTTATAAAATCTTTATTCTGTCTCCAACACATCTGCCTCTAGTTCCTGAAACTAAAGAAGTGGTGATCCACAAGTACAAGACTCCAATGGTGAGTACTTTTATGTTCTGCTTCCTTAAGACCTGTGTGATTTCATTTAACAATACACTTTGCTTAAGTGGTTCAGCATTCCCTTTAATCTCCCTGCTCTACTGGGATATCTAGAGCTAGTATGATCTCCAGTATAATGTGACTTTGATTTCAAAGTCAATGCCAGGTTAACCCCAGAATTGGTTATTTGTGGGTTTTCAAGCTTGACTTGGCTGTTGATATCGGATTATGTCAAATGTTTGTCTAATTTGTGGGATACACCCCCCTACATGCCCCCCCTCTTGTCTTCACAGGCAGACCAGATCTGCTACTCTGTGCTGTGTCTTTTCTCATACATGGCAGCGGTGCGGGGGAAGGAGGCGGAGAGCAAGGCCAAGATTCCTCTCCTGCGAGCCACACCCAGCTAGTACCTACACCCAGCTAGTACCTACACCCAGCTCCTCCCACCACCCTCAGACAGGCCCCAAACACCAAGCCCTTGGCTTTTACGCTGCACGAGCGAGAGGAGCATCCATTCATCTGTCCTTCTGTCCCTTTTACTAGGCTTCTCTTCCTGGGCCCGACAGCTCACATGTAGGACCGTAATCTGTATTTGGGGCCATTTTAACTGGTTTATTGAATGTACTACTGCTGTTTCTTCTCTTCCACAACCTTCTACCCTGTTTTAAGACAATCGGTAATCCTGCACAAACGGTAATCTTGGAAAAGAAGGAAAGGAAAAACACTGGAGACCTTCTAAAGCCACCCTCAAAGTTTCATTCCCCCTTCCCCCAAAATGCTGGCTGTACAGTAAATATTCATGTGCTTTATGGTGTCATCGACTGCAGCCTACAAGATGCTTAAAATGGTGGTATGTTGGGAAACTGTCCTAGCTGAAGCGGACATGCCGTTGGCTCCTTCACCTCTAAAGCACACTGGGGAAACACTATTGAGACTCGTGGCACCAATGAGATATGAACCACAACAGAAAGATGCCTATTGTTTGGCTTTTAGCGGTTCCTTTACTTACAGTATTGTGAGTGGTCCAAAATGTTTTGCTTGCCCTTGTCTTAGCTGCCGTGCCGGTTCTAATGTTTGTTGTCTGTGATCAGCACAGTTAAAACTGCATGTTAAGAATAAGAAGTTTTAAACGCTGTACATTTCACTTAAACAGTCAAGCATTACTATTCAACTATCGTTCGTCCTCTAGATGTGCAATAAAGTCCATCACGAGTTAGAGTGGTCCGAAACAATCGTAAGCAGAAAAGTTGAACTTTGTTTAACTGTATGCATAATTTAGCAATGAGAAACAGGTACAATATGAAAATCAGCTGGGTTTGAAAAGCCTGTCCTGTAGAAATAGCAGAGTTGCTGTACTTTTCAGTCCTGTCATACTGTGTACAAGGGAGATTGAACACCTTCTGTCCCACAGTAGGCTGTAGTGTCATTCCTAGGATGTGTAATATATGTGGAACTCTAGAAGCCATATACTTTTGTGGTATTTTTTTGGCTTTATGTTTTTAAAGAAAGAAATCTGTGTGTGTGTGTGTGTGTGTGTGTGTGTGTGTGCGCGTGTGTGTACAGACAGATCGTTACTCCTTCCATGAGAAATAAAATAATTTAGATGTACTGTGTGGGAAGAAGACAAATATTTAACAGGATGTAAATACGTCTGTCACAGGAAGAATGATCTGAACGTGTCGGCTGGGACTTGGTGAATCCTGTAGCAAAGTGTGTCAGTGATGTGTAGAAATCTGCTACTGTAGAGAACAGGGGGAAGTGGTGTAAATACTTAAGTGTTAAAGGTATTTATAGAAATTGTACAGCTTTGGCAATAAGAAAATAAATGATGTCCAACTTCAAAGGATTTTGTGGCTTGTATTTGTCTTGTATTTGTGCCTGTTGCACACAATTTCTACTGCATGCAACACTGTTAATGTATGTGAATATACTAGTGTGTGTGTGTGTGTGTGTGTGTGTGTGTGTGTGTGTGTGTGTGTGTGTGTGTGTGTGTGTGTGTGTGTGTGTGGAGGGGGGGCATTATGTATATAATACATTTAGGAACAAAAGGGGCCATTGTTGGGATTAGGGTTTCTCCCCATAGAAGTGAATAGATGGTCCTCACAAAGATATGAATCCAAAAGTGTGTACCTGTGTGTACATGTGCATATTTTTGACAGATGATGTTTATTTTATGGGAAAATAGTAGACTGTGAAGCAGGTTTGGTTTGCACACATTTGTTTACGCAGCAGCACAGGATCAAAAGAGGAATCAAAAGGGAAATGTGCCGAAATGGTATCAAAACTCAAAGGTTGCCATGACACAATTACTGTCACCTATGATAGATAAGACATGAATTCATCACTGGTGAAGACAAATCGACTATCAGAAAAATCAAACGTAAAAATTCAGCAGGGGTGGAGGTCCTGGTACCTGCGCTCCGCTGCTCACAGAGCTCCAAGTTTGCTGCTCGTGGAACCACAAGAATGTCCCGGGATTTAGTGGGGAGTGGAACATTGACCAACAAGCCGTGGAAGGTTGGTGCAAACTGTCGGGAAAGGGAAAGCACCACATGTGACATTCAAAAGAGCTTAAATCTGACGGAGTTCTCTGTACAAAGTACCACACACTGAATCGAGAAGGGTTTTATGGGTGAAGACCAAGGGGGACCTGACTTTTAAAAGACAAACACAGAAAGCCTTGACTGCAAATATTCAAGAGCTAGCCTGCTATATGTTGCAGAGTGGGTGATCCTAACAGCTGAAACGTGTAAGAAATTTATGGATACAAGAAACATTTTAAACACCGTCCATTTGGGAAAACCTCCAAATCCAGTATCTTTCATATACTAGTAATGACCTCAGAAGGACTTTGACATTGGAGGGCACAAAATCTGGGCAGGGGGTGTGTATTGCCACATGGCATTGGGCACACATGCAATAGTCATATCATGAGAGGATGCGATGTAAGAGCATTTTTTTAAATTAAAAATAAAGATTAACATTGTTTTGCATGCAGTTTCACAACTAAACATAACTATGACAAATAACTGATCCATGTGTAGGGCGACCAGATAATCCATGTCAGGGAGGACACTCTGAGCTAGGACAGGATTTGTAAACTACCATTTCAATTAAAAGGACCTGGATTTCACTTGAGCACTGAGTTCGTATACTGTGTGCTAATTGGTCAGTCTCCTATAATCGTGCATGTGTCACTAGAAGAAGAGCTGAACTAATTAGCCGAGCACAGGAGCCTTTCAGTTTGAAATTAGTTTGTAAAACCCGAAGTAGTTCAAAGTGTACTCCCTGACATGGATTATCTGGTCACCCTATCCATGTGAGTAAACGATTTTGCCTGCTACAGGACTACCATCTTCGTTAGATATACATTTCGTCTTCACGCTCTTAAAGCATCCTCCGTAACGTGGATTTGTAATGAAAGATAAGGAATGCGCTCTTAATTTGTGTTATCTGTTTCATCTGCATCGTGACAGAGACCTGTTAAATAGCAAAAGGGAAGCCCCCCCCCCCCTTATCTTCTGTTGGTGTCTGATTGCTGCTGTCTCCTGGCATCATATAACATCAGTCCCACCGATCACCAACACCGTTGTTCAGTGGTTACCTCACGAGGATTGAGGGGGATTTAAATCCCACTGTCGCTTTATGTAGAGTTTGCATGTTCTCCCCATGTTGTACGGCTTTTCTCCTGCAGTTTAAAAAACATGCAGTTTGACTGGTAAGGAAAGTCTGTAAATGTAATGTTGTGCCTGGATGTGCGTGTCCCTGTCTGCGAGTGCTGTATGGGATAGGCTCTCCTCGATCAGAAAAAGCGGTTTGAAGATGTATGGTTCATATTCATTACTTTTATCTTTATTTTTTATTTTCCCCTTTTTGTATATCTTTGCTGCTATACTAAGATTTTTCACTGGGTATCTATATAATTCTATTCTGTCGTACCTTAATTGGACTCGGTTATTTCCTTTCCTGCGCCACCACTTAATGACCACAAGGTGGAGACATGACTTTACTAAAACTACCGTATTGTAGCAAGCGAACACGTTATGTATAAATAATATTTGAGCATGAAAATGTTTTAGATAAAGGGCCTACATAAGACATTGAAATTTCGTGTGTTAAATTACTTTTCTTTCACCTGTACATTACCAGCCCCTATTGTCCTGAAAATGTATCTCAAGGTACAATAAAACCCATCCGCCCTGAAACCATTATGGCGACATGTAGACTTACATGTGACACATATGTTTGTCTTACCAATCCCTCTCGCTTCAAGTTATTGAAGGATTGGCCACCGCCTTGCCCCATGCCATCTGTCTCTTTCACACACAGTCCCTCACCTGCCCCACACCAATGTGGGGTATTGTTAGACTCTGGAATGTCCTGGCCTCATCTTGCACATTGTGAGCCCTTCCGAATGTGATATTGCCATGAACAGCGTCATCTGCACCGTTGCTGCCACATTCCACTCTGTGGTTTGCCTGACAGGACATTTTAGTATAGAGACCAAGAGGTGGATGATTCTAAATTTCACTTTATCTCCAGGTAACCCAGTTGACTCTTACTATCCAAAAACATGCAGTTATTTTACTTGCCGTGTGTGTGTCTGTCTGTGTGTGTGTGTGTGTGTGTGTGTGTGCCCTGTAATGCACTGGTAGGCCATCTAGCGTGCCCTATACTGCATAGAATACATACTTTCCAGGTCCCTATGACCCTGGCACATGCAGAGCTGTGGGGGTTGGGGGAGGGGGTGCCAAGGGGGACCCCAACCCCTGAGAAAGTCTCTGCATGGCGCTGTGGTGACCCTGTTCAGGACAAGCAGTTTAAAATGGTTGGATGAAAAATAATTTTTATTACCACAGCTGAATAATTGCAGCCTTCAAGGAAGGCTTTTTTCCCCTTCCCCTGGCATTTGTGATGTCACACTCAGGTACCTCCTACCCCCATGCTGTGGGCATCCAGCAGCTGGCGTGCTCTGTCTGCTCTCTGAAGAGCAATATGATGAATATTGTCACTGTGATCATCACCAGCTGCTCTCCAAAGACAGAGGATCAAGAACTCCTAATTCGCTACGTCCGAGTCATTTAGGCCGTGACACTCATGTTCGGGCTAATTGCCCTTGGAGGCCGTCAATGGCTCTATAAGGATTGACACTATGATTAGGAGGAAAAAATTGTTTGGTACCCCCCCCCCACCCCCGCTAAATTTAGTTGTTGATCTCAGAGGATTTCAGAGATTCTTTTTAATGGTGTTGAGTTCTTTGGAACACTTTGAGGCAACTGTTTCTAAAAAGTAATTGAATTTTTGTGATACATTTAATTAAAATGGGGATGTACTTGTATTTGATTCTCTTCTGGCTCATGTTTCAATTTAATCATCTGAAGTTCATGTCAGCTGTGGTGCTTTAATAAGAAGCAATCAGAAAATGGTGGATATAAAAAATATTTATAAAATAGTCATTACTGAACTTAAAAGTGGTATGTCACTAAGTGTATATATTTTTTTAATTACACAAATGACATAAGTTGCTCCATGGATATGTGAACATTACAAAGATGATTTTTCTTTTAAAGAAAGAGCTGGACTAGAAAGCTATAGAGAGCTACAGAGGAGACCCACAATGGGCAAGTTCAACAAATGAGAAACGCTTGAACATGGCCTGTATATGCAGCAAGGGACACCGACCAAAGTACGAGTTGACATACCTCGGCTTCAAAGAAATATGAGGCAAAATGAACATGCTGTATGATGTTCAGACCACTGCATTTCGAAGGTGAACATTTTTGTTATCAGTCCCTTTAAGGAAAATAGTGTATAAAAATAAGCATGGTCGCCTTGGCGTGAGATGGAGAGATTTTTGTAAAAAATAATGCAAGCAGATTGAATTGCCCTTAAATCAAGATCATGGCAAAGACATATTGTGTGTCATTATCAAATCTGTGTGTAAAAATAATATTAGGAATGTTTGTTATTGCTGTAGTGTATATATATATTGCACTACATTTATTAATTTCACATGGTTTGATATGTATGTTCTTTCTCAGCATTTCTGGGAGAAAAGTGTTTACGGCAATGCTGTTGGGATGCAAGCACAGGATTGCATTGCGATTGCGGGGGGGCAGCTGGTGCATCAAGGCTGGGAGGCAGCGTGCCTTTGCGTGCTCACATTCTGGCCACCCTTCCCAACAAAGCCTCTCTAATACCCTCCCACCTCCCACATTTGACACCCAAACTGCCACCCCAAGCAGCCCAGATACGTCGCACCCTCCATGAAAGGAAACGAAATACCTCTGCTTTAAAAATGCCCGGTTGGGGCCTTTCGTGGTTGTCGTTCCTTCACTGGTCTCCCCCTCCATGACCCCTTGCTTTTATTAGTATTAATCCCCCCCGTGCCTCTCTGTCCATGACAAGGCCAAGCCATCCACTGTGTTGAAGTCATCAAGCTCACTTCTGGGGCTTGTTTGCCCAAATGTGAAATTATTTACTGTAGAGCAAAAGTATAACTAGTTTAATCTATCCTTTATTGGGCTCAATGTACTGCTGTTGACAAGAGGACAAAAGAAACTTCTTACAGCATGTCTTCAAGCTTCAAAGCTACTTCATTAATTTCAATAAATTACACAGAAATACATATCCTAGATGAGCTTAGAAAGGTCAAAAAAGCAAAAGGCTCATTCTTGACAGATTCCACTGTTTGCACATTTGAACATGCATTAATGTGTTCTCAAGTTTCATATGCTAGTCGCTTTAAATAACTGAAAGTGTAGAGATGACCACTGGAAGGGAAAGACATTCATGGCGAAGCAGATTCCTCCTATAGACGGTGACATTTTGGTGTTCCAGGATGCAAGATCCCCCCCCCCAACCCCTCCCGCCAAATGGATCTTCTCCTCATTTCTTTGTGTCTTCTTTGGTGATTTGAGCTGAAAAGCAAAGCAGAGTGAATTTCCTATTTCACAAGACCCAACAGCATAGACTACCTACATGATGCACAGCTTCTCAGTTGCACTGTAAATTCTATAACGTAACCATGGTGATCAGTAGACGACCCTGACCCCCAAGTATCAAAAATTGCTTCCGTAGTCAAGTGATCCATAGTCTCTCAAGGGCACCGCCAGACACAGGAGACTTTAAACAAAAGAGTTAGACAAATAAATAAACGTAAATGCTCTGACTATGCAAAAAATTGGGGGGTTCCCCAGGGAAATTATATAATCGCACCGCAAACATAAGATTTCCATGAACTGCCACACTACCCCTTAACCTAAGCATATTACTTCAATAGAGAAAAGCCTGAGCAAACAGCAGGAAATAGGTTCTGACTGTCAGGGCGAATTTTGTTAACATTTCCATTATGACATCATAAATTAGGAAAAAGAGGCAGAGAGTGGGTGGAGGTGAGGCCTGGATGAATAGGCAGCACAAACTTAAAATGGTTTGTTGGGTTTTTTATACAAAACAAAAGGTCAACAAACAGTTCCATCTGAAACAGTGACATGACGACTGTGTAGGTGGATATGGAAGCTGCTTTCAGCTGATGTGTCTTGGCTAAGATCATAAAAAAAAAAAACTTTCTTCCTGGAGCTGCATCCAGCTCAGTGACATACTAACCATCTCCCCTTGCAGGTACATGCATGTGTGAATAGTAGCTGTCCCATATCCACGGAAGAGCTGACTTTCTCTGGATTTGCACCTGTGCACTGCAAGCCTTTGTGCTCAGTCTGCTAATTATGCACACCAGCTGGTCAGGCTGTGTTCCGCATTTCATAGAGATGCTCCTGTATGATTGAAAAGCTTTACAGTTAAAGTTTTAGCCAAGTGAATAAGTCAAACCATCCTTAATATCGGTTAATTTGATTTTCACTTTCTGGTGTAATGTTACGTTATTGGGATTATTTGAATCTCTAAAGTAAACATACAATTGGTAAGGCAGCAGTCGCTGCACTTCTTCCAATCAGGGTTCGTACACATTTTTACCATTACATTTCCATGACTTTTCCATGACTTTTCCATGACTTTTCCATGACTTTTCCATGACTTTTCCATGACTTAAAGGTAAATATTCATGACTTAATAAACAGTAGTTCTGAGGCACTCACAAGGAATATAAGTTTTAAAAGCCTTTATTTAAACTTGGCTATCCATTAAAAACATGCCAACATGTTTCAGCCTCTGTGGCCTTCTTCAGGGCAAAAAAATGCTGTTAAATTTGTGGTGGAGGAGAGGGAAGTACTGCAGCTGGCAGAGGGTATCATGACATTAGTCACCTGGGTGAAAAAGCCAGCGATCGGGTTGGAAGCTGACTGTTGCGCAGCTGCAGCGGCAGACTGGTGCTGTGCACCTTTAGCATGGCTAGATAGCGCTGCTTCTCCCATGTTCGAAATGTCGTCGTTTTATGGCAA